TGGCGCCTGGCTGCGCCAAATCGCAGGCATCGAAAACGAATATCATAGTCATGATCACGATTCTTGAAGACCACCGAATGCGAAGTTACACCAATTTCGGTGAGAAAGACTGTGGTGCCATGTTGGCGGCCACACGGTGGCGCCTGAATCCTCCCCATTTGGCCGCGTGACACACATGATGTGTCACGCCAGCCTTGCACTGAAAAAGGCCGCGGTCACACGTAAACGTCCCGCGAAACAGGGCACATCACTAGTTGGGGATTTTAGTCGAGTCCGTACGATGCCCCCCCCCACCTTTTTTTAGGAGCTGGTACAACCCCCCACCCCGGTGGTTTCCTCCTCACGAGCTGTGGAGTTGGGGAGTGTGTACACATGAAACAGGAAAAATCACGATTCACGAGAAGTCAGAAAACCAGCAACCTTCTAGGTCAGAAGGGAAATACGACCTCCCATCTCCCAACATCGAACAAATACGACCTCCTCCCTTTTACAACGTCCGTGAAACAAAAAAATCAACTATCAAAATAAGTTGTTCTTAGCCCAAATACCCCCCTCTCCCAGCCACCGAAAGGGTGGGTGTTGTGCCCTGCAGCGAAATAGGCGTCAGCCCGCAACATGTCGAGGCAATTGGCTCTCCAGCCAGTCGAGCGGCTCTAGAAAAAAAAGCGGTCACACAGGCTAGCTTGAATTAGAAAAGATTGCAAAGCTTTAGGTCACCATTCATTCAAAACTACTACTATTGGAAGAATGAAGGATATGCGGGGCGCATCTCAAGAGGATGATACGAGGAACGAGCGGTTGACTAGTTTGTATTACTGTCGTGAGGCCATCGTGGCAGCAAATGCAGCACTTTTTCTTTACAAAACCTTATATGGTTGGAATCATTTCGTCACGTTCGTTCCGATGGAACCTTTGAGCTGGGAAAAAAGGCTTCTTGTTACAGTGATCAGCAGGAATTAAACGCCTGCACATCTGCCGACAATAACAAAAACCTCGCTCTGTACAAGAATCGGAAGGTTTTCTTAAGTTTAAGCCATTGACGAATGCAGCGTGACGAGCAGACTGTAACCGTGAAAGTTTTTTTTAGTACGAGAAAGATAGAAAAAAATCACGCCGTTGTTGAAAAAGGTGTAAGTTCTTAGAAAAAATTGAGCTGAATAAAAAAGGGTAAGTTCCACGTTTCCCTCACGAAAAAATCGTACTGTGGCTAGAAAGAAAACAAAACAAGCTTCGCGTTTCTCTTGCTAATTTGCGGGCTTACTTGAGTGAACACGGGGTCCAGTGAAAAAGGAAGTCGTTTGCTCCTTCCAGAGCACTCTCACGATTCCTCCTCAGAAAAACATTCTTAGATTGGCATTGAAACGTAATCTAATTAGAGGCAAAGCACGCGGCC